TTGCGTATATGCCTATCCTTGCATGGCTTCGTGCCATCGAACGCACAAACAAGCGTCACATGCATCGTAGTTGTGCGAATAAGCTAAAATAAGTTCTAATGGCTAGAAAATAGGTTTTACTACCTGAATGTGGGGAGAAATAGGGCTAAAAAAACCATCCAGGCGATCAAACGGTGACATGTTGCGTATATGCCTATCCTTGCACGGTTTTATGCCACCAAACACACAAACAAGCGTCACGTACTACACAGTTGTGCGAATGATAACAAACCAGTTCCTATGGCTAGAGAATAGGATGTACTACCCGAATATGAGGAGAAATAGGGCTAAAAAAAAACATCCAGATGATTAAATGATGACATGTTGCGCACATGCCTATCCTTGCATAGTTTCATGCCATCTAATGCACAAACAAGCGTCACGTGCTGCTTATGTGGAAAGTCTAGGAAGGCTTAGGAGCCATAGCTAGTTAGGTCGAGTGAGTTGAGTATCGAGCAAGTTGAAAGGAGAGAAAGAGGTTCAATAATAGCAAAGAGATACAACATATAGTCAAGAAACTAGAGGTGCACCACCAAACAGAAGACAAGATAAATACACTACACCTAAACCACAAGCAGTTACATAAAATAACTTTGACAGCTTAGTTGTGCGAATGATCTCAAACCAGTTCCTTTGGCTAGTAAATAGGATGTACTAGCTGAATGTGAGGAGAGATAAGGCTAAAAAAATCGTTAAAACAATTAAACGGTGACATATTGCGCACATGCCTATCCTCGCATAGTTTCATGCCATCAAACGCACAAACAAGTGTCACGTGTTGTGTAGTTGTGCGAATGAGCTTAAAACAGTTTCTCTGGCTAGGGAATAGGATGTTCTCCCTGAATGTGAGGAGAAATAGGGCTAAAAAAAACATTCAGACGATTAAACGGTGACATGCTGCGCACATGCCTATCCTTGCATGGTTTCATGTCATCAAATGCACAAACAAGCGTCACATGTTGCGTAGTAGCGCGAATGATCTCAAACAAGTTCCGACGGCTAGGGAATGGGATGGACTACTTGAATGCGATGACAAATAGGGCGAAAAAAAAAAAAAAAAAAAAAAAAAAACCAGACAATTAAACGGTGACATGCTGCGCACAAGCCTATCACAACACAGTTTCATGCCATCGAAACGCACAAACAAATGCCACGTACTGCATAGTTGTGTGAATGATATCAAACAAGTTCATATGGCTAGGGAATAGGATGTTCGACATGGATGTGAGGAGAAATAGGGCTAAAAAATACACCCAGACGATTAAACAGTGACATGTTGCGTATATGCCTATCAGCAATATCCCTGTTGATATTTTAGATCCCGTTTCTTGTAGACCAGTAGGGACTACTGTATATATAGATGAGGCTACCAGGTTTTTAATAATTTGCATATGATTTCAATATATTAACAAACAACAGTTTGGATTGAATAAAGTATTAGTTGATTTTTATGCTGTATGTGTTTTTTTCCGGTTTCTACATACAATGTAGTCATAAACATCACCATGCGTAGGATTCTTGTTGCCTGTAATTAGTTATGGCCTATGTTTGTTATCATTTGTGAAAATTTGTCTGTGCAATTTTTGACTTCCGAAATTGTGCCTTGGTTGGTAAAAATGAGCTGTTAGCGGATAGGTCTTCGGCACAATAAATTGTGTACAGCGGTGTTCGTGAACTGCCGTGCTGTACAACAGTCCTTCCCTTTTGTCGAGCTGGCAGTTGCAAAACACGCCTGTGCGATTGCGTCGCAGTGCGTCGCTGTACACACGATGCCCGGTTGAGCCACCCGACCTTGCCTCTCTCTTTGGGCGTTTAAGTGATTTTGGATTTCGTCTGGATTTCGTCAATTCGCACTTAGCAAAAAAGGGCTTATAAAAGGGCAGATGGAGATTTGTAACTAAGCGTTGACAAAATGACCCCGGTCCCTTCAGTTTGGGGTGCTTGTAAATGGGGTGCAACTGCCTGGCACAAAATACACGGGTGCAGGGTTTCCATCCTGCGCAAGGCAAATTCGCGTTGCTTGTGCGTCCAATCCTTGCTCACGCCTGTAACAGCGTTGCCACTGCTGAGCCTCTGAGTGGCTGAATCAGCATATTCAACGCCACGCTGGCGGTTGCCCCGCTGATATTACGTCTGTGGGCGTTCCCATCGCCAGGCTTTCACAGGTTAGGTGCAGTGTTTCTGCTTCTTCTTTATCTCGCTTCTTTTCACAAGCACAATTCAGACTCTCGTACTATCTCTTCGTAAAGCTGTTTCTAGGCTAGTCGTTTCTCTCTTTTTAGTCGCAACCTCTACCCGCAGCAGCGAAGTCCAAGTTCGAGCATATTTTTTTTCCTCCAGTAAGGGCGCCTGTCACGAAGCTCAGCGTTAAGTATCCGCGCTCGCTTTAAGGTAATGAACTTCAAACAACAGAAAATTCAGACTTCGTAACTTGTTTGCCTGGTTTATGTTTGCCTTGCTCAATCTCTAGCGCGTATCGCTCGCATTGAGTACTTGCCCAGTCCCTCTCATCTGTCTGCCTCTCTCCCCGCACCCCATTTCAGAATAGCCGAGCAGGCTATCAGCATCACGCACTGCAGCTAGACTCACCCTGCTCGCCGTCGCTGCTGATTTTCGTGAGACATGGTGCTCGATGCTACTTTTTATGCGTTGCTTGCCTGTTTTTTCCTTAGTTTTCTTCCCTGTTCGGCTCATGCTGATGTTTGCCTGTTTTTCTTTTATGTCAGCCCGTTATGCGCTCGACGCGAAGCGTCAGGCATGGTCTTTGCATGCCGTGGTAGCTAGTTCATGTACTTTCTGCTTGCATTTCTTGTTATTGTAGCTCGTCTTTTTCTTGCAGGTTTGATGTTTCGTGCAGGTATGCTTTTTCTTGCAGGTCTGCTCCTTATGAAAGCCCATGATGACTGTTGCTGCCGGTAAGATTTATCTTGTTTGTGTGTGTTTTTTTTCATCTGACATTTAGTTTCATTCGTGCAGGCCCCGCAGTTTCTTTGAGCAGCATATGATCTTCCTTGCTATTGTGTGATTTAGAGCAGCCTGAGTAATCAAGTAGTTTCTTTTTTATCATAATGTGCTTATTTTAATTATGGTTATTATTAATATTACTCACCCTTTTGTTGATACAATTTTGAAATACCTGAGGATAAGCAGCAAAATGTATTTCAACGGAGGAGTGCAATGGATGATCCGTTTTTGTAAATCGTCATTGTACGCAGCATTGTATAATAACGAATTCTGCTATTAATGAAATATTAATTCTTATTTCAAATTGTCATCTTAGTAGCTATTAACGTATATTGAGATAAGAGTATATGGTTGGTACAGTGTGCATACAGTGCTGTCAAATTTTATATAGATTATTGTTCGAGGCGCTTCCTGCATAGGCCAATGGGATCAATTCCAACAGAGTGGGAATTCCAATGACCGAAATCGCCAAACGAAATGAACCAGGCCATCGGCCAATTGCGCTCGTTTCCGAGCCAAACAATCGGATCTTGTCGATTGGTTCCGGCGCACTTGGAAGCGAAGTACACGCGGTTCGCTCGAAAAGCATAATGGCCACCAACATGAACCATACTTTCGGAAACCCAACCCCAGAGCCACTTCCGGAGTTACATCGAAGTAGGAATTCCAACCTATGTTTTTTCGGATGCTGGTCCTTCTGCATGGGTGTGCATTTATGTTAGTGTTCTCAGTGTGGGTGTTCGTGGGTGCTTGGGTGAGATGGATTTTAGGTGATGTGCCTGGATGTCAATGAGCCACACAGTGTATCTTATTGTAATATGTTTTGTCCACTAAGCATATGCTTGCTTTAACCCTTGCGCTGCATCTTTTGAACAGCTAATATCGTTATATGGTAGCCAACAGTTACTGTGTATCTGCGTGCACCTGGGTGGAAGCGACGAGAGTGGCGGCACTCATGCGAGAAGCAATTTCGAAGATCAAGCAAGTGCCAGGAATCTAAAAATCAGCTCGTTTTCCGAATCGTGCTGCGACACCAAAGAAGTGGACTTCGGCCTTTCGAAACAGAAAATGAAGGCGCCCCAGAATGTCGCAAAATTTACATTGTGAATTGGATCGGAGAGTAAGACCTTCTTAGCAACTAGCGGCGTCGATTGCCGAGAATAATGACTAACACGGCAAGTACGATGCGAGCTAAAATTGTTACCTTAAGTGCTACTAAATTCGTGTAACCTAGGCCGCAATTAGTCACGTAACCTAATTTTCCGTCTGGCTGAGTAAGCTGGAGGCTAACAATTAGGGAGGTAAGCAGCCAGATAGAAATCAGAATTTTATCCTCAGTCGTAGGGCGTCTCCATTAGCGAACTCCAGTTAGGGACGTGTGAGGTGAGGCGAACATTTCGCAATTGTCTTTACAGGGAATAAGCACTCTGTTTCGTTGATAGGTGTAACCACGAAACAGAAAACGAGTTCGGTTTGTTTGGACCAACATGAAATCTCGTGGGCACCTGACCGAGTACTCCCAACCGTACCCAGCCAATCTAGTTGCTTTATGTACCGCTGTAGAACGCAAAAACGACTTATCGGACCGCATTCAATCGAACCTGTGAGACACTCCCTGACCAGATACCTCCATGCTCGCTTCAGCCTATTTCACTCATTCCTGCTGGTCTTCATTCCCCACCCACCACATACTTCTTCGAACCGCGACTTCGGAGTGCTTGCATCTAAGGGAAGAAATTTCGAGATTTCAATCCATCCGATTTTTCAGGCCGTACGATCGCCGTCATGTTCAAAAAGCCGAGCGACATTCGCGGGCAGCAGCGTCTGTCAGGAGCGGACAGAAAGAAGCTTCGGCGAAACATTCGAGACAAGTTCCAAGGCGCCACTGACGAACAACTGGACGCGATCCTGCCGCCCAAGGTGCTCCTTAGTAGCGATCCTGCCGCCCAAGGTGCTCCCTAGAAGCGATCCTGCCGCCCAAGGTGCTCCTTAGTAGCGGTCCTGCCGCCGCTCCTTAGAAACTTACCGCTTGAACCCTCGTGTATTACCTCCCAGTTAACCTCTGCGTCCCCCGCATTCGCCTTGTGATATTCGCATGTTGAATCGAGGATATGATATGATCTGATAGGATAGGATAGGATATGATATGATATGATATGATATGATATGATATGATATGATATGATATGATATGATATGATATGATATGATATGATATGATATGACCGCAAGAGCCTCCACTTAGGATATGATATGTTGTGATCTTCTATTGGAATCACTTTTGACGATTCTCAAAAGTGATTTCAGCTAGTGCAGCGCGTCATTCACCTCTACTGATGCCTGCGCTTACCGGATTTCCTGCTCTCTTCAGCGTCATTTTCTTCTTTTTATTATATTGGAACTCGCCTGCCTGTTCGGTGGTCCAGGCTGACGTGACGGTGACGAGGCTGGTGAATCGCGTGCTGGTGTACGGACTCGAGAGCGGGCTGCCCATGCTCTTCGACTGCGACGGCAGGGGCACCGAGATCTACCCCACTGGTAACCACACGGCCATGTAACCATACCGATGTAACCACACAGATACTCATACAAACTTCTCCGCTCTTCCCTCCCTCCCTCCCTTCCCCGCCCCCTCCCCTCCCCTCTCTCCCTCCACTCTTCTCGACTTCAATCGTGTGGTTTGGTCTTCGCCCTTTCCTCCAAATCTCCACATTTGTTGTTCCCGCCGTCCATTGCACGTGCTTCATGTGTGCCTTCCATTCCCGTCACATGCTATCATTTCATTTCAATCATCTTCACCACAGCTCAACAGCCACCTGCTGTTCACCCTCCTCATGTCAAACCCTGAACCCCTCGATTCCAGACCTTCATCCTTAAACCCTCAAATTCTGCCTCTCAAACCACCCAGTCCTGACTCCCCATCCCCAATTGTTGCAATGTGGCTTGTGCCTGACCTGCTGCCATCCTTCCTGCTCAAGGGCAGGGAGGGAGGTGATGACTTCCAAGTTGACGCAACAGTTGCCTCAAACCCCGAAACCCTGAACCCTTGTCAACCCAACCCTCATACCCCATCCCGTCCCAGTGTTTGCGCTGTGGCTTGTGCCGGACCTGCTTCCGTCCTTCCTGCTCAAGGGTGGGGAGGTGTCTCGCTACGTGCTGTCAGGGGCTGACCTTATGGCGCCAGGCGTGCAGGTGAGAGTGAGGTGGGGGTTTAGGGTACAGTGCAATGGGTTACAGGGCAGTAGGTTACAGGGAGAGGGTAGAGTGCATCTTCTAGAATTTGTGAGGTCTCCTGCTACGTGCTGTGAGGGGCTGGCCTCATGGCTCCAGGCGTGCAGGTGCGAGTGAGGTGGGGGTTTTGGTATTGCGAAGTAGGGGGGATTTCTAGGGTGCAGCGTCTTGTGTTTGGTAGGTATCCCGCTATGTGCTGTCAGGGGCTGACCTCATGGCACTGGGCGTGCAGGTGCAAGAGGGATGAGGGTTTAGGGTACAGTGCACTGGGTTACAGGGGAGTAGGTTACAGGGCAGTAGGTTATAGGGACAGGGTAGAGTGCATCTTCTAGTACTTCAGATGTCTCCCACTGTGTGCTGTCAGGGGCTGACCTCATGGCACCGGGCGTGCAGGTGAGAGTGAGGTGGGGGTTTAGGGTATAGGGCATTAGGGTACAGGAAGAGGGTAGAGAGCAGCTTCTAGTACCTGGGAGGACTCCTGCTACGTGCTATCAGGGGCTGGCTTCATGGCTCCAGGCGAGAATGAGGGTCGATTGCAGTCAAGTGGGCAAAACTTCAGGCTCAGCTCTCCTCTATACCCCTCTATACGCCTCTTCACCCCTCTGCTTCCCTCTGCACTCCTCTGTCTGCCGCCAGGTGCCCGCGGAAGGCCTGCCAGCATTTCGACCAGGGGAGGTGTGGTCTGTGAAGGTTCCAGGAAACTCCTGCCCAATTGCTGTACGTGCTCGTCTCCTTGCATCACAAATTTGCACCGCTGTTGAGCTCCACCGTTCTCCACCGTGCTGTATCCTGGTCCACCCTAATTCACCACTCCATGCTGCTCCACCGTTCTCCACCGTGCTCTATCCTGGTCCACTCGATTCACTCTACTCCATGCTGTTCCATCCACCCTGCTCCACCGCTCTCCACCCAACCAATCTCCGGCCCGCCTTTCCCTCTCACTCCCCACACATCTCCCATGCATACCGGGTGGGTATAACGATGGTGGGCACTGCAGAGCCCGTGTTTTGAGCCGACTCAAAACCCGCCCCACCCACCATCGCCCATCCACTATTCCCCGTGCACACCGGGTGGGTATAACGATGGTGGGCAGTGCAGAGGCCGTGAGAGCACATGTCCCTGCTCCCCACTTTCCATGCTCACTGACTGTCCTCCCCTCTCTCCCCTCTCTCCCCTCTCTCCCCTCTCTCGCCTCTCTCCCCTCTCTCCCCTCTCATCCCCACACATCTCCCATGCACGCAGGTGGGCATAACGATGGTGGGCAGTGCGGATGCTGTGGGAGCCGGCATGAGAGGGAAGCTCCTCCGAATCACCCACTACTACCGTGACTCGCTCTGGTCAGCACTGCATTCCACCTTACTCTACTCTCTCTGTCCACTCACATCCTCCTTGTGGTGTCAATTCCCACCCACTCTTTCGCTGTCCGCTCACACAAGAGACCGTGAGAGCAGGCATGAGAGGGAAGCTCCTTCGAATCACCCACTATTACCGTGACTCACTTTGGTCAGCAACCCCACATGTGTCCCAATACTACTGCACTCAGTATGAAATCCACCCCAATCCCCACTCACTTGTTATGCCTGCGCTGCTCTGCCTCATGGGGAGCACCACCTAACGCTCCCTCCTTCCCCCTTTCCCGTGCTTTCAGGGAGACGGCAGAGGGTTCCTATGTGCCCAACAAGGGCTTCTTGCCGGGCCTGGCTGGTCGTGCCTGTCTGTGCGCTGCTTGTTCTCCTGCTCTCATGCTCAACGCTTGTGCAATCCCTTTCTCTTCCGCACCAACCCACGCCCACAGGGAGACAGCAGAGCGCTCGTACGTGCCCAACAAGGGCTTCCTGCGGGACCTGCCCACTATCCAGGCTCCTCTCCCCCCCTCCCCCCCCCCTCCCCGCTTCTCGTGATTTCAGGGAGACAGCAGAGGGCTCGTACGTGCCCAACAGGGGATTCCTGCCGGACCTGGTGGTGCCCAATTCTGATGCCACGCCTGCTCTTCTCCTCCAAATGGACCACCACCACTTGACGCTCCGTTCCCTCCCCACTTCCCCACCGTGCCCACAGGGAGACAGCTGAGGGCTCGTACATGCCCAACAAGGGCTTCCTGCGGGACCTGCTTGAGCCTGTCTATCCTTCTTACTATCTCCCACGCCCCCCCCCCTCTCCCCCCCCGCCTTTCCTGTGCTCACAGGGAGACATCAGAGGGCTCGTACGTCCCCAACAAGGGCTTCCTGCCGGACCTGGTTGTGCCCGACCCTGATGCCGAGCCTGTTCCGTCAGATGGAGCAGCACCTGAAGATTCACCTGGTGGCGGCTTGGGTGTTGCTGGGGCTGGCGAGGGGGAAGGGGAGGCGGGGCAGGGTGAGGGGAGGGGTGATGAGGGGGGAGAGGCAGGTGCGGTCATGGAGGAGGGAGCAGCAGCAGCAGCTTCATCAGAGCAGCTGTCAGAATCTCCGCAGCATCTAGGCATGCATGACACTGCTGCTGCTGCTGCTGCTAGTGCTGATACTGCGGTTGGGGGCAGCGAGGGGGATCAAAGAGCAGCAGCAGCTGCTGCAGAGGAAACTGCAGAATCAGCAGCAGCAATGGCATTGACACCGGCACAGATGGATGAGTTGTTGGATCGCTCTCTGCTGCAGGCCCTCTCCGTCTCTGTCAAGCCCGCCCACCTGCCGCTGGGAGCTAGCACCCTTTGGTAAGGCTCCCTCTATATGCGCCCTCCCTCATAGTCACTCTTAGGCCTGGGCTGTCTGCTGCAGGCTCTCTCCGTCTCTGTCAAGCCCGCCCACCTGCCCTTGGGAGCCAGCTCTCTCTGGTAAGCTTCCCCTTTGGTAGCCGCTCTCTGGTAACCTCCCTCCCAGGTGGCATTGACACCAGCACAGGTGGCATTCTCAAAAGTGCCCTCTCCGTCTCTGTCAAGCCCGCCCACCTGCCCCTGGGAGCCAGCTCTCTCTGGTAACCTCCTTTTTGAAAAAAAGCGCCTGAAAAGTCGTCTCATGGCGTTTAAAAAAACGATTTCTGATGCGCTTGACGATTCCAAATTCATCAGCAGCTCGCGTCGTTGGTTCTCTGTGAAAGCTTGCCTTGCCCCTCCCTCCCTCCCTCCCTCCCTCCCTCCCTCCCTCCCTCCCTCCCTCCCTCCCTCCCTCCCTCCCTCCCTCCCTCCCCTCTGGTAACCTTCCACCCCCGCCTACACGGCAGGTCCAATCACGTGCTGCCATGTCGGCCGCCCGGCACAACAGTGGACATCAAGAAGTCGTCTCACAAGAAGCTGAGCAAGTGGCTGCATGCCAAGGCCGTTGATGGGCTGGTGAGTGCGGGAGGGAGTGTGTGAGTGAGTGAATGAGTGTGAGTGTGTGTCATTGTGTTACATACCTACATCTCGACCTCACTCACAACAGTGGACATCAAGAAATCGTCCCACAAGAAGCTGAGCAAGTGGCTGCATGCCAAGGCCGTTGATGGGCTGGTGAGTGTGCTTGAGTGAGGGAGTTTGAGTGAGAGAGAGCGTGTGAGTATGAGTGGCTGCATGCCAAGGCGGTTGAGGGGCTGGTGAGTGAGTGAGGGAGAGTGTGAGGTTTATACTCTCACACGCGCACTTCATCCTTTTGTTACACAAGAAGCTGAGCAAGTGGCTGCATGCCAAGGTGGTTGAGGGGCTGGTAGGTGTCTGTGTGTGTGCGGGTGTGTGCGGGTGTGTGCGGGTGTGTGCGGGTGTGTGCGGATGTGTTCGTGTGTGTGCGAGTGTGTGCGAGTGTGTGAGAGTGTGTGCGACTGTGTGCGAGTGTGTGAGTGTGTGTGCAACTGTGTGTGAGTGTGTGCTATTTTCTCTGCCACCAACTACCCATTGCACCCTTCTGCCCGCATCCCAACCCCAACCTCTCCCTCCTGCCCCTCCAGATATGCAGCAAGGAGGACAAGCACAGAGAGGAGTTCATATTGTCTGCCTTTAACCGTACATAGCATGTAGCCACCCCTTCCCTTACACCCTTCGCACTGCACAAATCTATATACCTCTCCCCATCACCCCCCTCCAGATAAGCGGCAAGGAGGACAAGCACCGGAAGGAGTTCATAGTTTCTGTCATCACCCACCCATTGCACCCTTCCATTAAACCCACACACCCCTCCCGATGACAACCCCCCTCCCCCATCAGATAAGCGGCAAGGAGGACAAGGACCAAAAGGAGTTCATAATTTCTGCTTTTAACCGCACATAGCATGTACCCACCCCTTCCTTTACACTCTTCCCACTGCACAAATTTATATACCTCTCCCCAATCAGATCAGCGGCAAGGAGGACAAGCACCGAAAGGAGTTCATAATGTCTGCTATCAACTACCGCCACCCGACCCTCATCGCCTTCTTGCCAGACAAGACAAACAAGCCCGCCCAGACCCCTGCTGCTGCAACCCTTGACGCATCCCCAGCCGCACCTGGAGCACCGACCACCACCACCGCCACCACCACCACAACCACCAGCAGCGGTAGCGGCAGCAGCAGCAGTGGAGGGGGTCTGACAGTAGAGGAGGTATTCAAACCCACCCACCACGTGTCAGCCATTTTCGAAGCCGTCGGTCTCGACCCACACGCCTACTACTCCCCCTCGGCTGCCCGCGAGGCTGCTCTCAACTACATCTCTCTCCACTCCCTCACAAAGCCCTCCGACCCCTCTATAGTCATCCTCGATGCACCGCTCTGCGATGCACTGTACAAAGGCGCGATAAAAAAGGGCGCGGCGTACCCCACGGAATGCCACAAGCGGGACGTGGGTCCCACATTAGTTCGCCGCATGCAGGCGCATCACAGGGTGGAGCGGGCGGGCAAGAGTGTGGTGCGCAAGGGAGGGTTGGTGCCGGTGCAGATTCTGGTGGAGAGGCGGCAGGGCAACAAGAAGGTGACGCGCGTGTCGGGGCTGGAGGCTTATCTGGTGGAGGCTGAGCCTCTCGCTGCTGAGCTGCAGAGGAAGTTTGCTTCGAGCACGTCAGTGGCTGAAGTCCCAGGTGGGTTTCTGTTGCAGGTGTCTTGTGAGTCGACTCAAAATTCATCTGGTGGAGGCTGAACCTTTCGCCGCTGAGCTGCAGAGGAAGTTTTCTTCGAGCACCTCAGTGGCTGAAGTGCCAGGGGTGGGCTCTGCTGTAACAGGTGAGCGGGTACTGGGTGGGTGGGGCCAACAGGTGCAGGGGGCAACAGGGGTCACAGGCACCGAGTGGCTTATCTGGTGGAGGCTGACCTGCTCGCTGCTGAGCTGCAGAGGAATTTCGCTTCGAGCACTTCTGTGGCTGAAGTGCCAGGTGGGTTTAGTTGGGGTGCAACAGGTGCTGGGTCGATGGGGGGTGGCACATACCGGGGCTGATGGGTGGGCTAACTGGTTGGCTTATCTGGTGGAGGCTGAGGCGCTCGCTGCTGAGCTGCAGAGAAAGTTTGCTTCGAGCACGGGTGTGTCAGGTGGGCTCTGTTGGTGGGCCAGGCAGTTCAGGTGTGTCAGGTGGGCTCTGTTGGTCTGCCAGGCAGTTTAGGTGTGCTGGGTGGGCTTTTGTTGCAACAGGTGGGTGGGTTATGCTGCAGCAGGTGTATGCACCCTGCTCTCCCCCTCTTCCCTCCCCACGCATGCATTCATGCACCAATGCACCCATTCATGCACCTATGCACCCATCCATGCACCTATGCAACCATCCATGCACCTATGCACCCATCCATGCACCTATGCACCTATCCATGCACCTATGCACCCATCCATGCACCTATGCAACCATGCAACCATCCATGTATCAACACAAAGCAGGCTAAAGCAGGCAAGAAGGGTCTTTGAGCCGACTCGAAAGTCGTCTTGTTTAGTCGAATAAAAAATCGTCTCGTTTTTAGTCGACTCAAAAGTCATCACAAGGTGCTGTTTCAAGGAGTGGTGTACACCCATGCACCCATGCACATGAAGCAGGCAAGAAGGGGCAGCAGGAGGTGCGGATTCAGGGAGGGGTGTTGGACGAGTTGGCTCATCTGCTACTAGTACATGTGCATGATGGGATGTTCAATGACCTTCTTCCCCTCGCATGCCCTCTCTTTCCATGTACTCACCCGTGCACATGAGCAGGCAAGAAGGGGCAGCAGGAGGTGCGGATTCAGGGAGGGGTGTTGTATGTTCATCTTCTACCCTTCCCCTCCAATGCCCTCGCTTTCTCTCTCTACCCTCCCTTTTCATCCATGCATGCGTACACACGAATCAGGCAAGAAGGGGCAGCAGGAGGTGCTGATTCAGGGAGGGGTTCTGGATGAGTTAGCTCGGCTGCTTGTGGACGTGCATGGCATTCCCAAGTCCCATATAGAGGTACTCGATAAGACCAGGAGGTGATACAAGAGTTGGCTCGGCTGCTTGTAGAGGAGCATGGCATTCCTGAGTCCCATATAGAGGTACTCATTAAGACCAGGAGGCAATAACCAGGCTAGGAGATGCTCTATGTGGAACTCATAAGCACTATATGGAAGGTGGCATTGATACTGCATTTTTCGGGGAGGGCATGAAGGGGGAAATGGGGTAGAGGAGTGGAGGGGGTTTGTTGTACGTGGGTTGAGGTAATAAGGGTGATGATTTAGTGAGGAGGGATGGGGAGGAGGAAATCTAGTGTGGGGGAGGAAGACTGGGATAGGGATGACGTGGAAACTGTTGGAAACAATAAGTCCTAAGTGCGCTTCTGTCGTATCAAAATCCAAGGTACCAAGCGAAGCAGTCCCAATCGAAGCATCGAGTCAACCTCGGAGGTTAGGGTAACCGCCTGGAGGTTACGAGAAAGTCAAAGGTCGCTGACCTTTGACTCGACAATTACAGCGCGACAGTTAAGGACACACAACTGACTCGTTACAGAGCAGTTGCCCGAGTCGCGCTATATCGAACCGCAACAGCAATACAGTTATCTATTCCCTGTACTCTTATATAAATCCTTGTATTTGCTTGTTTAATTCAATCAACTTTGCTCTCACACACCAGTGCAAGGTCGGTTCAAATTCTTCACTAAACGCTTCCGCTATTACAACTACTTCACCTAGAGTTATCCCTTGCAAAGATCCTAAGGGGCTATCTCAGCCCAACATGGTATGAGAGCAGACAAGGGAAACTCTACTCTTTTTTCAATATCATTACAAGACATGGCAACAAACAAGGAAAGGAGCTCCCCTAATGGCTCCTCGGGCACTACTCCTACTCCACCGTCAGCCTCTGGCCTGCAGACAGAAGAAGGCACGGCAACAAGACCAAGAGGAACGTCAACCGAGACCCCCATGAACCACCCTTCGGACTTTGACCAGAACATGATGGAGAAATTTTTCTCCTTCATGTCCTTCTACGAACAACACCAGCAGTCGGGACCTGCACAAACACACAACAGCAACAACGGAGCGACACCCATGAGTCTTGATGGGTCGTCATATGCGCGAGGAAACCAGCAGCAGCAACCTACCTTTGCTCCGTACGAGCGCGGGTCAATCAGCTTCGTGCCCCACCCGCAACCTTCACCTGGACAAGAAAGACCACTGGACGCACTTCAAGTTCAGTCGCAGTTTGCACACGTCTTAAAACTGCAAACGTCAAGACCCTTCGACGGCAAAGACTTCTTTACCTGGTCCTTTGAATTCGAGCTGATGATGGAGGGCGCGCAGATACTCGGCTTCTTCGACGGGTCCCTGCAGTATCCAGCCAACGGGACACAATATGAAAAGCAGCAGTATACGTATCAATCAATGATGGCGTATACAATCCTATTGAGGAATGTGACACCAACTCAGCAGCAGAACATTCGCTCTTACCGGACCTTCGGCAACTCGGTGGAGCTCGCGTACAGCCATCTGAAGAACCTGTATCAAGCAACAGACAGTGTGAACCAGAGCAGGTTAATGGCGCAGTTGACGACAGTCGAAATGAAACCAGGAGAAAAAGGACTGGCGTATATCAGCCGATGTCGCGAACTGCGCGACAAGCTGCTTCGATGCGGAGGGTCAATCTCTGAAGACGCCTTCGTGACAGTCATCATTGGTGGGCTTGGTCCTCAGTGGCGCGCCACCAAAGCCATTCTTCGAGCCCACGGAAGAATCTCTGAAGCTGCACTCTGCGCCGAAATACATGCCGAACAGCAAGATATGGACCTGCAGGAAGAACGACACAGGAAGAAAACGACAGTATCAGAGTTCGCATTCCACACTCAACGACGACACAGCAATTATAACAACCGACAGCAGCAACCGAAGATAGTACCTCCCTTCTGCCACATCTGCAAGACTTCAGGGCACCCGCGCACACACTGCCCGAATCGTCAGCAATCAACGGCACCACAGCGACAACTTCGACCTTCAAGCTCCCAAATGGCTTCAACACAAGCAAGTGCGACGACCACTATTCAAGCTTCAACGACTTCACCCGGACAACCTGCACAAGGAGCAAGAAATATAATCAACTGCATGACGAAGATAACCGATTCATGTACAACCGAATCACCACCACACTACTCACCGGAAGAAGAGCTTGACAACAGAACGCCTCGCCGTGAGCTACTCCAGCCGAATCCAACGTACGCCGCCATCGCTCAAAGTGAACCGTCCGGCCAAGACACCTGGTTCTTGGACAGTTGCTGCGGGCAACACATGTGCTCGTCCGGGCGTTTCGTACAACGCGAACATCGACTCCAACGGGAAGTGATCATCACGGTTGCCAACAACCAAAACCTGCGCACACGAAGACAAGGAGTGGTACAGCTTCAGTCAAGAGAAACAAATGTCATACTGCACATGTCTAAGGTACTCATCGCTGAAGGACTCGGCTACAACTTACTGAGCGTTAGCCAGTTGATGGCGAAAGGAATTCATCTGGAAGCCGACAGCACGACCCAGGAGTTCAAACTTTACCACGGGAGAGGCGGTCTCTACATCGGGAAAGCAGTGCTGAAGAACAACGTCTTCGTCCTCGACTTCGTTCCTGACCTGGGCACTGCAGACAGCGACGCCATCATGAATTTCACTGACTGGACACACCCTCCGGATCTCGACCCCGACTTCAGCCCAGGAGGCTTCTGGTACTCGCACACCATTCCTGAAGCAGAACGAACACGAGCATTAGCAACAGTTCGACAATCGGCAGCAGTAACAACATCGGCAGCAGCAACAACATCAGCAGCAGTAACAACATCGGCAGCAGCAACAACATCAGCAGCAGTAACAACATCGGCAGCAGCAACAACATCAGCAGCAGTAACAACATCGGCAGCAGCAACAACATCAGCAGCAGCAGGAACAACGACACCAGTCATAGTCGACGAAGCACCACCAACACCCGCGAAACAGCTGAATCCGACTCAACGTGAAGTCCACCGAAGCGCCAACCTCGTCGCCAGCTTTTACTCCAACTCCGACGCATATCAGCGTTCACCTGGACACCGTGCCTCTGAAGAGATCTGGCACGCACGAACAGGACATCCAAGTAACACGGTTTTGAATAACACGATAAGAGCAGGAGTCCTTGACAAAGATTCTCTACTTCTACCCGATGGCAGAGAACTCCAGAAGGCACGAGGGACTTGCCTTATATGTCCCGAAGCTGACTTACCTCATCGACCGTTTGCTTCACATCACAACCCGAGCGCTCCAGCGTACGCACCACTCGAAAAAGTCTACAGCGACATCCTCTACAATCGCGAGCCAGGACAAGTCAACTACAACTACACCATCACCTTCATCGACGCCGCCACTCGATACGTCTGGCATCGCAACCTACCCAGCCGCGACATGGCGCTCGCAGCATTCGCCGCCTGGCTACCGATAGCAGAGAGAGAGTCTGGAACACAACTGAAAAAATTCCAGTCAGACGGAGGTGGCGAGTACACCTCTCACCGCTTCAAGCAGTTCTTGGCGGAAAGGGGGATCAAGCAACTCCTCTCCCTTCCTTACGCACATCAGCAGCAAGGTGTTGCAGAACGACTGAACAGGACCCTGCAGAACAGCATGCGCAAACTATTACGTGGCATGCGGCTACCCAACCACCAGTGGCCAGCAGCAATGGACCACGCTGTCATGCTACACAACTTGTTGTCGTCGTCGTCACTCCCGAACAACGCATCACCGCATCTGCTGTGGACAGGGAAGCAGGGCAGCACGAAAATGTTACGAGTTTTCGGGTGCATGGTACAGTACAGACCCCCAGAAGCACGAGCGGGAAGATTTTCGCAACGGGCACAGTGGGGACTACACCTCGGCACCGAGAAAAATTACAACGCATGGAAAATCTTCGACGTCCACACAAAGGAAACAGTAGCAGCACGTGACGTGATCTTCTACGAAAGACTCACCCTTCAGACGTACCTCGCCAACTTGCACGAGAATCGGGACCTCACCAGTGGTTTTCGTGGTGACCGAGCCTTCGCGTCAGCAGCGGACGAAGCAGACTGGGATGAACAGAACGTCGACAACGCCTCAGAAGAAGCCGGACCTCTCCCATACTGCTCCGTCGACGTGCCCATGGATGAGGATAATCCTCGCGACAGTAACAACGCCGAAATCTTCTACCGTTTCGCCGACGATGGTTACGTAACACCTGTGACAGTCAACACCAGCGAAGCAGAAAGGGTAGGGCCAAATTTCATGCCCGACCCAGAAACGGGAGACGAAGCAGCTTATCCCGAGGATCCAGAACTCCCTCGATACTCACAGACTGGGCTGCAAATCCTCGGCCTCGTCACCGCAGTCCACGGGAACACACGCAGCTCGCTTCCTAAGGAGCCTGCAACGGTTCAGCAGGCTCTGGGGGGGGAACACAGGGAGAAATGGCGTGAAGCCATGGATAGAGAACTGAAGGCATTAGAGGAACGCAACACTTGGAAGGTTGTTCCCGTAAGCGTGGCACGGAACAAAACCATCCTTACCGGGAAATGGGTCTTCCGCATCAAGACGAAAGCAGACGGCACGATCGAAAAATTCAAAGCACGCTGGGTCGTACGTGGATTCGACCAAGAGCAAGGACGAGACTTCACCGAGACCTTTGCTCCAGTCAGCCGCCACACGTCACTCCGAATTCTCCTCGCCATTGCCGCCATGAAGAAGAAGAAGTTACGGCAGATCGACGTCGCGAATGCCTTCCTCTACGCACCTGTGGATGCAGAAATCTACGTCGAGCTCCCGCACGGTTCCCACGGCGAACCCAACCGAATCTGTCAACTACTTAAGTCGCTCTACGGGATCAAGCAGGCACCGCGACTGTGGCAGCAGTACCTGCACGCCCGTCTCATCCGCATCGGCTT